TGAGTAATAATATTTTATAGTATGAAAAGAAGTCATAGAAGGAAATGGATTTTTAAAAAAATTTGTAATGTCTGTAGTTGAAATATGAAATTTTTTTTTGTTGGCTACCAAAAAGGATTTAAACTTGAGGCAAAAGTTCTTAACATTTTAGACATTATTAAAATGACTTTTAGAGCCAGTTGCCTCTCCTGCTCTGGTGATAGTGAGAAAAAACAATTCCTCCCATCTGGACTGGGTTAGATGAAGTCCAGATAGATATCAGAATTACTTCTAATCCACAGTGGGACAAAGAACTACAATTCCACTAGGATACAAACCCAACTGACTTGGCTCTCAGCACCTCAATTTTGGGTTCTAGGAAATCAGCTACACTTATAACTGGGGAATAAGTTGGAACCAGCTCTGCACCTGTAGGACCTCTAAAGAGGATTCGAATCCCTTGGTCAAATTATTGGCCAACCAAGTTAGCAACCAAGCTCCTTGGCTGAGAACTGCCATGTATGAGAGGAAGCACTTATCGGAGCGAGCACCCAAGAGGCTAACAACGAGCGGCAGCTTGGCTGGGTCTCTTGCTGATCCTCCTAATTGTGTGTGGATGCCCAGAGGCTCTACAAAAGCTCCGAATATAAAGAATAAATAGTGTACAGGAATTCACTAATTAAGAACCTCCTGTTGTTTCCTGTGTGGTAATTTTTACAGACCACCATGGCAACTTTCTCCCATAAGGCAGAGACAGAACGGAAGTACCAGACAAACAGAAGAAATTAGCCATTTAGGAGAACCATTTCATATTCCAACCTACATAGGTTGAGTTTTGAGCAAGCTCAAGGCCACCCAGACTGCAGTGATATAAAGTCACTTCAGTGTCACAACGAATTCCTTTATGTACTGTTACTTCTGTTTTTCAAATGAATCTCTAACTTTGCAGTGGTTTCCCTGGAACTCCTCCATTTGATGTGGCTCTGTTATGCTGAGCAGTTTTTGATCAGTAGTTGCAATTTGGGGTGCGTAGATAAATCATCTTGCTAAAATGTGAATTTTGATTCTAATAGGTCTAAGAAGGGCCAAAGACCCAAGGGTTCCTGATGCTGTTGGTCTGATAATGACACTTTAAGAAGCAAGGTTTAGATTACTTCAAAACCAATGTAGTAGGTGCAATTTTAGATTTTGAAAGATACTCTTTAAAAAAAGAAATTAAATTAAATTAAACCCACACAGGAAATGAGGATGATTTTCAAAGCTAAATGGTTGTCTCCTTGGGCCAAAAAAGAGCTCTTGGAAACTAAGAGCTCCAGAGCAAGTTGGCAGACAAAGCAGTGTAGACCAGAGGCTGGCAAACCTGCAGGAGGCAGGAATCATCCCAAATCACCATCCCCAACTGTTTACAGCAAACTGGAGTCTAATCAACATCATTTTCAGGATCTAGAGTTAACAGACCAATTGCTGGGTCCCAAAGGTAATCATAACAGAGCAAAAAAGGTAGTGATTGTCTTTCAAAGGAATCAACCTGGCAAAGCATTGAAACTGGATCCAGCTACGTGTAGGAGAAAGAAAACAAAGCCCTGGTCTGAGAATGTGGTCAGACCCCAGCGAAGTAGGCTGAGGTTCAGAGCATGGTGCTTGTTCTACTCAACAATCCAGGGCAGAGATCTAGTGAAATCAGGACAAACTGAGTTGGGGGTGAAGCGAAAGCTCCAGCTTTGGGTGCTCCAAGGGGCTCACGCAGGAGAACCCAGAATCAGTGATGACAAACCTCCAGAGCTTTCAATGCTAACAGCCACCACAGCATGCATGCCATAGGTTCGCTACCACTGCAAAATACTGGGGTGGGAATAGTCAAGCTCATTTCATGCTCTGGGACCTCAGCTGTTGATTTGTTAGCATGCCTGTTTCTAATTAACTCAAGTGTTTGGATGAGGAGGAGTCTGCAAACCTGAAGTCTTCAGCACCCAGAGCAGGGTAGTGCTTGAAGAATAAAGGCATTTAGGAAATGACAAAAATGTTTCTTAAGTTGAGTACAGCATGGGAGATGCCAGTATGAAGTTGAACCTGGCTGTCACCTTGTGGAAAGTCAAGAATGGCTGGGAGACAGCCATGATTAGTGTGGACATATTTAGTGAAACAGACTTTTACCATTAGTATGGCTACTTACCTGACAAAATCATCCTACTCCTCAATTATACCAAAAGATAAACAAATAAAATAAAAAGGCTTTCCATCTATTTTTGGGAACACTGCAATCTAAGGGCAAGGATTAAACCAGAAACACCAAGCTAATTATAAGTGTCATTTAATAGTCCAACATTCAGAAGTACTTCCCTCAGTGATTCCTGAAATTTCACTTGGGATTCTTGCCTTCATTTAGTTGGTTTGGGTTGTATAACAACCTAGGAATTCTTCTTTTCTCTTAGATACTATGTTTGCAATTGGAGTACACCATGGGTGCGTTATATGATTAATAATTTTCTGAAGTGGTTAGGCATGCTTTGTGTCAGATACCTCAGTCAGGAGGGAGTAACACTGCATATGGTTTCCTTCCTCAGAGGACAATTCTTACCAATAAAGAGAGTGCTATCATATTAGGGCTCCATACAGAAAGTGAACAAACAAATTATATCTAGATCGCACGCTTCTCTACCTATCAAGATTTAGTCTAAGCAATTCAGTTGTCTCCTGGATTGTGGGAACGGCAATACCAAAATCTATAGAGCAATTCAACAGTTTAGAAAAAGGAGGTAAGATGTTGTAAAGCAATTCAGACTGGCTGGAAATGTCAGGTAGGATTACTATGCTGTATTTTGAAAGCCGAATTCCTTCTTTAGGAAATCAGCCTTTGTTCTTAAGGTCTATGGCTGACTGGATGAGGCCCATTAACATTATGGAGGGTGATTGGCTTTTATCAAAATCTACTGATTTTTTAGCACTTCAGAATGAACCTAGAACCTCATATGACAGGTGGGTACCGCTGAGCTGCATCTTCAGTCCTAGTTGTACTGATTAAATATTCATCACACAGAGTCCTTCACAGTAACATCTATGCTGATGTTTGAGCAAATAGGTGGGCATTATTGCCTAGTCAAGTTGACATATAAAATTATCTATCATGATTCATGCATGTGGAACACAAAAATATGCATTGATATATACATTTGGAAGATAGATCTTAACTCCTAAGATTGCTGTTATGATGACCTGCACCTCCCACCATTTAGAAAACTTACTCATGACCACAAGGTCAGCCAGTGGCTCTTAACTATTCTCTAAAGTAGTAGGCCACTTGCATATTAAGATGTTTTGTTACATATATCATCATGACTTGAAAAAAGGCATATATGACACTATGTATCACTGTTGTCATTGTCAAGAATTAGTTTTTACTGGGAAATGCTTATAATTATCTTTAAATGCAATACAATCTCTTTAGGCAATTCAACTTTAAAAATTGCTGTACTGCACTTGGGATACAATCAATGTGATTGCATAATAAATATTGTATATTAAAATTAGTATTTTTCAAAGCTCCTATTGACTTAACAATGACCTTTAGAGTAACCTTCAGTTGAATCACTATTGTCCTTATTGTATAGAAATACCTCGTGCACAAGAGCACAAGAACTAACTACATGTAGCTGTGGACTTTTTGGTCAACGGAATACCAATCTGCAGCTTTTTTAATTAAAAAAAAATAGTTGAGCTGCAATAGCACTTTTCACATAAAATAATTTATGATATAAAGCACAGATTCCATGTTAGGTAAGTGGAATCAGGCTTTTTTTTTGAACAGTATGATAAAAATAATATTGAATCAGTTTAACAGAAAAATCATTACAAAAGTAGGGAATCTACTTTTTTCTTTTTGCTCCTAATTAAATCAAAGTAGAAGGGACATTTTTCTACCCTGAAGGAGAATGCTGTTTCCTCTGACGAATTACGTAAGCTCCAGCAAGTGTCATCAGCCTCAGAAATGTCAGCTCTGTCTTTGTCATTTTTGTGGGAGTTAGACAATTGATAATCAGAGGACCTAATAACTTCTACCTGGACCTTTTATACTTTACATTTAATTTGCTTTCTCATTTTTTCTTTTTTTGCATACAACTATTTGGGGAGGGGGAGTCAAAGGAATACAAATCGAACTCAGGACCTTGTGCTTACCAGGCAGGTGCTGGGTCACTGAGCTAGATCACCAGCCCTTCTACGTAACTTCTTGGTAACATCTCGACAAAGGACAGTATTTTCACAAGACAACAGGGTGTAGCCATTAAAGTGCTCTTTGCAACATAGATTCAAGAAGTTTGGAAGCTTTGAGGCATCTGTCTGGAAGTACATTTTTGATACCATGACAGACCCAACTAACAAAAACTTAAAATCTAAGTAGCATAATGTAGTTTATGCAGTCCAGTATTCATGAAAAAATAAATCACAAAAAAGATGAAACACAAAATCCTCAGATATATCTGCATTTGGGTTTATTCTCAAAGACAGGTGCTTTTGAGATAATACTTACAGTATTAGTCCAGTGTTGGCTAAAAGGACCTATCACTGATGTTCTCCAGGTTTTGATCAAATATCTTTTCTTTCACTTTACGAAGTCTGTTTTATTCTTTATCTACTTAGAATCATATTGGTGTATGATTCTGTCAAGGAAGTATATCCATTATGACAGCAAATGGGAAGAGGCAATCTTCTCCCATTATTCTGTGTAAAATTCGAAAGACAAACCTAAATTTTACTGATGATAAATTCATAACCAGGGGAAAGGATGGTTCAAAAGTGTCCCTTGTATTTCTTACACAAATGTTTGAAGGTGAGACATAATTACGGTTTCAGGTCCTTCTTGGTGTGTTCAATGCTTTTCATTCGCTCAATGTCTTTTGGTTTAAAAATATCACAGCACGCTTATACCCCCTGACCAACAACCTTGGGACATCATAAAATGGTAATTCAGCATTATTATTTCATGCACACAACAATGCCAACTTCACAAGACTACACAAACAGCATTCTTTAAAGTTGTTTTATTGATGACAGAAACTGCATAATTACAGATTTGATGAGGAACCTGCAAACAATAAAGAATGGGTCTGTTGCCAGCAAAATACAATTACTCCAGGTCCTTTAGACAAACAAATATAGTTCTTTCACACCAGATGGCTCTTGGGCAACAAAGCCCTTTTAGAATGTTTAATTGTGCTTCTACAAAACCGTCACAGAATGAGGTAGTTTCCTTTTCCCACTGTATTTTCTGTATTCCCATTATTACACAGTAGCCAGCTTAAATCCTTTCAGCATAACCTTTAAACAAGTCTTCATGAAAGCCAAACCTCCTTTACAATGTGTTTATTTCCTTCTACCTACATTTTCTTAAGGAGAATTTCAACAATCACCACACAACTACAGGAATATGGTGACCAGAGATGCTACACAGTCCACTGTTAAACTCAGCTCCTACTCCTACCAGTAAGCTCCAACTTTAAAACACTCTCAAACTACTTATTGCCTCTCAGGCACCATAACAAATAGGCACAAATTCTTTAAAACTGAGTGTCAGGCTTCAGCTCTGTGTAGTAGCTAACTTGTATACTATGGGTCATTCAGTGTTCTGATCGCCAGGGAAACACCTGCAGAAATTCCAGATGCCAACAGTTAGCTGATTTATTTTAAAGATGTGATTCAAATGTGTTTAGAGCCATAATCTTTAAAAGAATTCTTATGCTCTTGAAAAACTCATGGGGGATGCAGAAATTGAGAAGACTATTTGTGTTTCTTAACCCTGAGAATGATTTCAATGACCATGTGAACTCAGTCTGAGACCAAAATCGCAGCATGTTGCAACACGTTTCAGGTAAAAGCTAAATAATATTCAATCAATTTCCAAATCTGCTGACTTTCATCAAGGGAAAGGGCGGGATTGGGGTGGAGTGACAAACAGTATTTCTGAGCAAAAAACCAGTCAAAATCTATTCCTTGTCGCTTATTTGGCTTCAAGATGTCTCATGAACATGAGAACAAAATGCTTAAAGAAATGATACAATAAATCTCATAGACTGCAATTATAAAATCTTATCCAAATTGGTAGCCGTCTACAGTGACATCTCCCTAACATGACTGTTGGATTATAAACTCAAGACTGTCACTTAGTGCTAATATCTGATGGACCAGCCATTAGTGTCAGTTACTTCCTAATTGCACTGTCTGCATTTGACACATACTAAAGACTGAAAATCCTAGTGCCTGGCAAAATATGGAAAAGCTCTTTTGAACAACACAGAAGTGAGTCTGATTTTCTTCCCCATCATTCTTTCTCTTGGCTACCTTGTTCTTTCTCTGATAACTTCTCTCACTCATTTTTTTTCCATACTCTAACAATGCACAAAAAGGAACCTAACCATTGTGATACTGTATGGCAGAGAAATCTGTTAGCAAACGTATAATTTATTCCCAGTTTACATTAATTCTTGCTATTCCAATAGTGGATTACCTTAGGCAACCTAGATTTTAAATCTAGTTAGTTGGGATTATCATGGTATGAAAAATATACTTCTAGATGGAAAACTCAAAATTTCCAAATTTCTTGACTCTGTGTTTTAAATTAGCATTTTAATTGCTAAGACTGAAATTTCATCTACTGGAAAATATGTTTACATCTGTTTGACTCCAGCAAATTATTCACTCACAGATGCTACCTGACTGATATATTTCATGATCAGTCTCTCCAGAGGAAACATGGGAAGTCTTTTAATTCTGTACTATGTGCTAATGATGAAAAATAAATCACCATTTCTATCTTTGCATGGTAAGGGGGATTTGTGGAAATGTTGAAGATGATTTCTTTCCGATATTTAAATGGCCTTTCTTATTAAAAACTTGAAACTGAAAAATCAAGGTCACATAAAAGTTCTTTTCTGAGCAGCTGCATCAATCACCTTCAAGCTATCAGTTTAAACAGCTTGATTCATAATCAACATTTCCTAGAAAAATTTACTCCAGGTCACTGTCTTCATTTCAATATTATCTGGGTTTGAATTTAAAAAGATCAGGAAGTATGCTGAAATCTATGGTATTCTGCAAGAGGTACCATAACATTACTCCAAAAGGATGCGGACAACCATGATTCTAGGTTGATAGGAAGACACAAACCAGAAGGAGGTAATTCAGACCACTCGCCATGGATTAATAACCTTAAATACTAACCTTACTGAGTAGTTTTGCACCAGAGATGCACACAGGAATATTGTTCTTAAAAAAGTGAGATGAAACCTTCACTGTGATTCCTTAATATAAGAGAAGTGCTCTGGCCTTCCACTGTTATCTTCATTGAATGCTTCACAAATACTGCTTTTATATCTAAAGTTCGTTCAAGTAATAGAGTACACACTTCATGAGGTAATGTTTATGTATTATTTATTTTCTAAAACTAACTTTCTAAACTATTGCTATTTGTAGAAGATGCACTTTTGTGGGTGCTCGATCAATATTTGGCAAATAAATAATAATCTCCCTGATCTTTATCCAGAATGCACACTCACTACCCTCTGCCTTGTTTTGGGAAGGGGTATCTGGATCATAAATAGCTAAATGAATTCTGTTTGTAGAAAACAAAGAGACAATGATATAAAGTGTCCACTGAAATTACTCATCAACATTACCCTTTTTTGTAACAAGTTTTTGCATACACGCAGAACAGGAAATCTACATTACAAGGAAGGGTTCTCTAATTGTATTTAGATGAGAGCCATACGCTTTAAAAGAATTCTTGAGCTCTTGAAAAACTCATGGATGATGCAGAAATTGCAAGTAGGGGTTCTCTAATCACATTTAGAACCAGGACATGAAAGGGTTCCCTGAGCCCTCATTAAGCCCTTGGCCTTGGCGCACCTGATGAATATTTACTAGTCTAGTATCATTCACCGAAAGTGAACAAATGCTGTCAAAGACATTTTTCTCAATCTTAGAGTAAACCAAACACATAATTTTGAAAAGAAGCAGAACACCATGCCAGAGCATGAATGGGGCAGGTTAAGAAATCTCTCATTTTAGCAGTTGTTTTCACAGCAGAATTCCCCTAAAGCGGATTTAAAACTTCAGGTTAATAAAACCTTTACAGTCATACAGACTAAGATGGCCTTCACATGCCCAATACCACTCAGATAATCTTACGCAAGTAAGATTGCGTGTTTAGGTTCAGCTTTAGGGTGAAGAACTTTAACCTAGGAGGAGTTAACACAGAATGTTGGTGTCTCTAGGGGAGCTGATGTTGCATGGCACCGTATGCTTTATTTGTTTATTTCTTTTTTCTTTATTATTTTTTACCGGTATCAGGGATTGAACTCACAACCACGTGCTTGCAAGGCAGGCACTTAACGCTGCTGAGCTAAATCCCCAGCCTTATTTGTTTATTTCTTAAAGCTATCTTTCTTTTGAGGAAAAAAAAATACAGGAGGTATAAAACTATGATTCCCTAACAAGGCTTCTCAGTCATTTCTTTCTTTCTGTGTTCTTTTTCCTCTTCCTTTTGAAAGCAAAGGCCCACCCAGGTATTACTAATTTTTCAACTCCTCCAGCCTCGCCGTACTAGACAGCATGGTACACATCCAGCTAGAAGTTGGTTCTTGTGCTGCATCCAGGGTTGAATCCTTGACAAACGGGTGCCCCAAAAACATATATCTAACAGAAAATCTTTTTAGGAAATGATCAAGTTTTGTCTACATCTGAATATCTCATTTTAATATTGTGGTTTTCACTCCTGTGTTTGGGAAAAGCTGACAAAGTCAGTCTAAAATGTAAAAGCTGGGAAAAGTGGGAGGAAGGGAACATGCAAAAATAAGTTAATCATTATCGTTTTAACTGCCACCAGTTCTGTTTATAGTCATTCACATGTGAATTGCTGAATCTCATTTGATCAACACAATTAAACATTAAATAATTGCAGCCAATTATGCAAATATCAGCAACAATATTAATTTGTTGATCTTTTTGAGCAGATTAGCCTCACATGTTCCTAATGCTTGCCTATCTTATGACTTAAATGATCAATTAATGTTGCGATAACTAAGTCTTGAGGAATGGATAATTGCCTAGTTATAATGTGACACTCTTGCCTAGTGATATAATGTGACCGCTTTACCCCACTGCAATTAAATAAATAGTGCACAAGAAAAAAAGAAGTACAGATGCTCCTTTTAAATCTATTTAACAAGTCAGTATCAAGGTCAATTTCCTGTCTTATTGCTTAACAGAGAATAGCATATTATGTTCCCTATAATAAGAGATGTCCAGTTTTTAAGATGTATGTCTTTTCATCTTTTCTGAGTGTGGTACAAAGGGTTTAGCATGCTCTCATGTTTTTATGAAAGAAATCATATAAACATAATGTTCCCTAACTTTCACGATGGGTACACTAAATTTAGAAATGCAAAGTATGAAATATAAATATGGCAAACAAGTAAATTTCCTTGCTCATAGAAATCAATCTAGTTATTACGCTTGTCTTCACAGTTAAAATTTCCTGGAAGTCCTGTTGAGACTGTTATATTAAGAATGAGGTCAAAAAGATTTAGCAAAGGTGAAAGCATCTCGTTAGAACACTCTAAGAATACTCTGAGCCTAAAAGAGAAGACCTGCCTAAGAGTTCACATCACCAATTAAAAGTTCCCTAAAAGACATTTTTACCATTCCTTTTCATCTTAGCCTTCTCTAATTTTTATTTTACCATTCCTGTCTAAAAAAAGACCCTACAGCTACAAGTTTTGGAGACGAATCAAAGCCCATTTGCTATGTGTTGTTAAATGCCTAAAGGAAAATTTTCCAATGCATCAAACTTCTAGAATGTTTTCTCCCCTGCTCTGAAAAGAGAATGAAATATGATCAGCAAGATGAAAGGCATTAAGACTGAGGAAAACCAAAATACAATGTCTGAGTTGACCTTCCACTGGTAATGTTTTCTGTCAAGATTTCACTTTCCCCTAGATAAACTAAGAAAGGATACAATGTTTAACTCACAGCTCCAAAAGGAGGAAAAACATTCCCTGTAATTGCTCTCTCTCCACCATAACCATATATTCTATCAATCCTCACTCAAAAGAAAAGAGCACCTACAAAAACAAAAGCATAAAACCAGACTATCTCCCTGGCTTCTACGCCTCACCCCAAATGATTTAACACTTCACCAATGACATGTGTCATCCCTACTTGGTTGGTATGATATCATGAATTTTCTCTCTCCAGGGCCACTGCTTTAAATCCAAGTGTCTTCCCTCACTGTGGCTCTCAGCACCTCTAACGACTTAGGAGTTCATGGAAAATGAGGCTAATATGAGGTAAATATGACACACACTGTTGGAGTCAATCACAATTCTAACAAAGAGGTTTCATAATATAGAAACATAGAAGGTGCACTTCTATAGAAGCTAAATGTTTGTTCATTCATTCAATAGATATTTACTGAGTACCCACTATGTGCCAGGCATTGGGCATACAAAGATCCCTAAGGCGTTAAGACCTTCCGTCTTCCGTAGCCTGATGAGTACATAGGTACAATACTACATGATCAAGACAATGGTGAACATGCTCAGGTCTACCGGTGCACAGATGCATTAGGGGCCTGCACACACATGTGACAGAAAGAAATCAAGTTTTCCAAGATCTTACGAAACAAAATAAAACCACTTTCTGAGCGTTTCTAAGAGTAACAATGCGTCACAAAGAACATTACCTACAGAAATTATCCAAGTCCAGACACACACAAGTATCATTTACTTGAGGACGCACACATTCTACTAAAGAATCAACATTTTGGATCTGAGCGAAGTTCTAATGGAGGCACTCAGATGACGGAAGAAACTCTGTTATATGGCTTACATTATAAGGTAAAGAAAGCAACTATACCCAAGTTTACAAAACAACTGATGATGAAAATTCATAGTCTCAGGCACAAGAAAAAAGAAACCACCCTCATAACACACAAATAAGACGAACTACATTATATACAACTACTGACAGGTTGCTTAAGAAATCTATCACATATACAAAAAAAAAAAATCTATCACAATCCGAGGGCAGCAGCCTATTTCAATAGCATACAGTTGATCTGTAGCTCTCATTCAGGATACTACGATTGTCCAGGCGCTCTCTTCTTTTCCGTACTGTAACAAAAGCAAGAAAACATGGTTTAGTATAACAAGCTCACGGTGCAGGAGCAGCTTCATGCAGCCAAACTTGATACAGCCAAAGCTACCCAAAAGGCTCACTTGTGCTTTAAACACTGAAAGCATATGAACACATTCTAAAAATAAGTTAGAGAGGAAGAGAGGAAAGGAAGGTGGGCAGGAGGAGGGGCAGACATCTTACAAACTGATGACACATACATTTAGATCTGTAAACAACCAAGGACCTGGAAAGGATCATAGATGTTAGTTATAATTATTGCTGAACTTAAATTCACAGCAGGCTAAGCATGATGGTGTTCCCCTGTAATCCCAGCATTTGGGAGTACGGGGTAGGAAGATCTTAGAGCTCAAGGCCACCTGGACTACATAATATAATGTGACCTTGTCCCAGAAAAAACCTGAAACCAAACCAAACTAAGCAAAAAAAAAAAAAAGGTAAATTTACAGGTGTTTACCACTACTTCTGCATTTTGCTTCTGTTTTTCAAATGAGTTACACTGTTTACCTACAGCTCTATTTTCTTCAAAGAAGTGCTGCTCAGAGCGTATTCCCCAAACAACTAACATCAGCATCTCCTGGCAACATAGAGAAATGGAAATTCCCAGGTTCCCTCTCAGATTTATGGGATCAGAAATGCCAGAAACCTCCAGGTCCGCAAGCACTTCCAGCTAATGCTGACACAAGCTAAAGAGCATTTTATCTTCATGCCCCAAAATATTAAACTGAATTCTGGATACTTTTTTTTCCCCTGTGATAATGGGAATTGACCGCAGGTGTCGCACAGAACTACACTGCCATCCTTTTTTAAATTCTGAGACAGAGTCTCTGTTAATTAAGTTGCCCAGGGTGTGATCCTCCTGCCTCAGCCTCTAAGAGTGTTGGGGTTCTAGGTGTGTGCCACAATGTCCAGCTGTCCTTGTGCATCTTAAGAGGAATTTTAGTCTCTAAATCAGTTGGTGCTGTTAGCATTCCAATTTTTCTTATTCTTTTGAAAATCGTTTACTATCATAATCTAATTTGGATACTACAGTAGCACATGCTTTAAAAGAAACTTGAATTTTAAACCATGAAGTTGAATTAATGAAACAAAACGCTCTATACTGCCAATGGAGAGCTAGTTCAAAGGTCAGTAGATAGTGATTCAATAAACATCTGTGTTTAAATAAGCTTTCCTCCTTAGAGCAATCATGCACACCAGCTCCATTGTGTTGGGAACTTTGCAGACTTGTTACTTCATTGAATCCTCAGAGGAAGCCTACATGGTAGGAATGGTGTGACCTCCTGGCCCATTCATCTCTGTTTCCTGGCTGGAGATGTGACATTCTGTTCCACATGTACTGCCATCACTGGCATTGCCTTCGAGGGGCGAAACCAACAAGGCCTGCTGATCTTGGACTGTCAAACTCCAAAACCGTGAGCTAAACAAACCTTTTCTATGAAGTTGGTTGCCTCAGATACTACATTTTAGTAACAGGAAGCTGACTAAGACAGCATTATTCAAGAGATTCATCTTGTCTCATCTTAGAATATCTTAATGTATAAAAGCAATGTTTTTTGTTTTGTATTTTCTTGGCCTCCTGACTATTCATTATTTCCTCTGAAGAAGCATTAATGCTTGCATACCCTTAGCCTTGTGGTGAACCCCAGAGATGCCAACAAACAATTCCAACAGCCTTAGAAGAAACACAAGGGTGTGACTAATTATAATCTAAGTATCTAAGACAGTGAACCTGTGGCATCTGTTTTAGTGGACTGTTTGTATCGAAAGCTCTAAAATTTTGCCATCACTGGTCTAGAATAATAATCCCCAGCTCTTCAACAGGTGGAGGAAGAAAAAGCATTTAAATGGGTGAATGCGTCTGGACCACAGGAAAGCAGTATTGTTCCAGAGAGTTACAAAAGGTTCCTAGAAAATACGAATGTTGAAGGATAACCAGGACTTCATCGGGTGACCAAACCAGAAGGTACAGTGAGGGCAGGTGGTGTCAGAGAGCTGAGCTCACTGGGAGAGCAGGGAAGATTCCCAACAGCAGGAGCAAGCATGATTAAGACCATGACTAACTGGAAGAGCAAACAGAAACAGGGGAGAAGAATAACACAGACAACATGGCTAATAGTCTCCAAGTTTCACTTTAGTGAAACACAAAAACAGACATGTTTTTCTTTTTTACTTAAAGAAAGAAAGAAGGAAAAAAATGTTCACTGGCAATGTTCCCCTTCTAGGAGCTATTTGTAGAGTAATCTAAGACCCAGGGAACTATATGGGTAATTAGCTAAATGGGATAAATACTTTAACCTCAGAGAATCTTACTCAAGTACAGAAGTACAAAAGTTAAAATGAAAGGCAAACTTGTGGTTAAGGAGAATTTTCCCCTTGGGTTATACTGGCAAGAATTATGAAAAAAAAAAATTTTGTTAAATGATTGTTGTTCCCTTCTCCTTCAATTTACCAGAGCACTTTGTAGGAAATATTTACGTTTCCATGTAATGCCGAAAGAGATCAAATGTAAAAACATGATGCAACGCTACACTTTTTCCTCAGTAATTACTGAAATTATTTTTCTTGGAATCAAACAACCCCAGTAGCTTGGCTGACAGCACCAATTTGCCATCTTGTAAGAGGATAATTTTGAGACTTAAGGTTCCATGCACCCAGCCACAAAAATATTTGAAGAAGAAAGATGTGGTTTTAGATTATGGATGGATAGTCCCTTGTTAATTAACAGTTTGGAGCAGATGTGATACTTCTGGTTTGTGGTTAATTCAGATCCACTGCACTATCTCTATGTCCTGAGAGCATGTTCCTTTGCACCTTGATCCAGTATGGGACTTTGGACGTATAATTAGACTTTAGTGTTACTACCACTGTACTTCACTACCTAGAGTAAAAACAAATTATTTACTTAGATACAGCAATAAAGTTAAAGGGAAAAGTTCCATTTATTTCTCATACCTTACTTCACATGTATCATTTAATTTTAAACATTTTCATACATGCTCACATTTATTTTATTTTAACTTCCCTTGATTTTCGTGTGCTTTGGTTTCTTTAGTTTTTCTTTTTTGTCCTTTTTTTTGGTCCTTTTTCACTGTGATGTCCGCAGCTCCTAGGGTAACGTTATGTATAATGTTTGCACTCCATCTATCCCTTTGTTAAATGAATTATTCAACAACATTTTCTGTAGTCACATTCTTCTGGTTTCCATTGTACTTTCTGAGAACCTTAGTAATGGCTTTCCAACTTGCCCCAAAGTTCTATGTTTGGGCTTCTTTTTTATTCATGGTTTTGGGTCCTAATAGTATTTGTCACCAGCTCAATGTTGATGAGTCAGTCACATTTTTGCTTTTGATTCCTAGCAATTTTTTTCTCAAGCAAAGATTCACGGTTATGTCCACTGAATACCTCTACTTAGGTCTTCCAAATGCATATTTAATAGAATTTAATTTTTCTTTTATTGCCTACCTTTTTTATTCTTCACAAATCAAGTCAGTTTAAAATTTCTTATTTCACACAATCTAGAATAGGGAGCTCATGTCTCATTTTGTTTGTTAATTCTATAAAATGTACAATCTTTTAAAACTTAAAAAAAATTTTTAAATTTTATTTAACCTTATTTTTTGGAGTACAGCCCACTTTGGCCCCCAATTTGTAATCCGCTTGCCTCAGCCTTTTGAAAGCTGTAATTATAGACATGAGCCATCACACCTGGCTTCAAATGTATAATTTGTTCAAGAAAAAATTTCAAAGAAATCTTTCTTCTGACCTATGACCACACTGCTTCCCCCCTTAAAAAAAAAAATCTCTAAACTGTTATGCTGAATAAAAGCTTTCATAACTTAGCCAATTATATATTTTAAAATTCTATTTATGTTTTTATCTGAGCAAAATAATTATCTTCATAGGATTTACTCAGGCAATCCTGAAAAAGTTGTCTGAACACGAAGACAGCAATGTTTGTTATCCTTCAAATTACTTCTGTTTCTGTATACAAAGGTAGAAAACAACTCTGAGTACCATTTTTTTTCTGATATGAAGGCACTCCTTTTATCTTACAGAAAATTCTTATAGAAAACCCGTACTGAAGAGAAATGAGGTAGCTCACTTCATTCAAAAACCATAAGCGGACAGAGTGGTACGTGGATCAGCCCAGAATTTGGGAGCTTAGGCAAGAGAATCACTGAGAGTTTGAGACTTGTCTGGGCTACAAAGTGAGCTCAAGGCCAGCCTGAACTGTCTAATGAGACTGTGTCTCAAAAAGACAAACAATAACAACAACAAAAATTGAAAAAAGCATAAGCACCTAGATATAGTAGTGTATGTCTGTAATCCCAGCACTAAGGGAACCTGAGACAAGAGGCCTGAAGTTCGAGCCCAGCCCATGCAACTTAGCAAGATGTGATGTCAAAACAAAATAGTTTTAAAAAGAGATAGGGACATAGTTCATTGTGAAATTCTGGGTTCCATCTCCAGTATCAAAAAACAGAAAGCAAAACAACCCATAACCATTCTTTGCTTTTATCACAGCTACTAAAAATTTTCCATAAAAGTTGCTGTGTAAATCTTAAAAGAATACTGTTTCTATAACAGCTCAAAAATTGATTTATTTTCTGGATACCTGCTGCATTCTCAAATGACTATAAATTTTGCTTAGTTTTATGGCTCAATACCATCTGATGTCACCAAGCCATCAAATGAATTTGACTTTTGCATTTGAGTCTCAGCTACCCTTGGATATGCTAGTAATGGGCAGTGAGGACATCTGGGTTCAACAAAATCCTCTAGAAACTTGCAAAATACAGGCTTTTTTATAGATGACCTAGTGTGCTCTGATATGTGATACGCCTGCTTAACTACCTGATGAGACATTACTAAAGGCAGATGTGCAGAAAAAAATAGGTGAAACAAAACCAGCAGTATAAGAAAAAGCTGCACATCCTTGAACCCATTGTAGGGATTTATCCTAAGGAAATGAACAAGTCAGTTCTGTTCATAATAATGAAAAAAAATCCACCACCACAAAGGCTCACTATAATGATTGCTTTAAACATTTATGATACATCAACATGATGGAAATGAACTGAACTTTATAAATGATATTAAGAAAACCACTTATTGAGTTGGGGTGAAAAAGTTAAGTGTTTATTTAATATGCAGTAGCTGAGTATGGTGGCACATGCCTGTAATCCCAGCACTCAGGAGGCTGAGGCAGAAGGATCATAGCAAATTTAAGACCAGCCTGGGCTACAAAGTGAGCTCAATGCCAGTCTGAACTGCATAGTGAAACCCTGTCTCAAGAAAACAAAACAAAACAAAAAAAGCAGGCAACAAAATTATGCATGATATGAATTCACTTTGCTGGAGAAAATAGCCAACAGCAAGTATAAATGTTATAAAACATTGCAAGTATAGACATTCCAAATTAACAGTGGTTTGTATCTCAGCATTAGAATCATAGGTAATTATTTTCTTCCTGGGTTTTACTCTAAATTCAAGGTTTTGAAGGCTAAAACATTTTTAATGAGTTTTCTAAATGTTACAACAATTTACACTTATTTTTTAAATGCTAAGTAATCGGGAGTCCCTGACAAGATTTCCTTTTTAAAATACGTATCTTTTTCATTTTGGTTCATGTCCACTCACAGTATCAGGAAGACCATCCTTAAACTGAAATGTTCTCAAATTATAATGTTTACTCTCTTCACTCCCTGAAAATATGATATGGTCCTAATCCCCCATTGAAATAAGTTGCTATTTTACTTTTTGGTGTTAGGAGAAAACCAGGGCTTTCTGCGTACTAAGCAAGTGCTTTCCCATCAATCTACACGTGCAGGCCTAGGCAGTATTTTTTTAAAAAAAGATCTTTACTTGGATATTAGTCAGCTTCTCCAAGATTCGACTTGCGAGCTCAGGCCCATTCTCCATGGTTGGAATGTGTATCATCTACGAAAGAAAAATGAGATACTTTGAGAATTTCAACATGTGGAGTGGTGACAGAGAAGACATGTAGCAATTTATACATTAAGGCAATTCCACCTAAAGAAGACATAGCACTGTAACCTACTTAGCATGCACACTACCTGCTCACACCAAAGATTCTTTTCTATTGTGAACAGCAATGAACGCTAGCCCACAGCAGGCTGTTTATTGCCTATGGACTAAATTTAGGGCATAAATGGTTTATATTCTAATCTTCAGGCTGATCCGAGAGATCAAGGAAGAGACAGGGGAGCCTAAAATAATGATAAAGTGAATAAAAGCTCAGACTCTTCCAAAATTCCAGGAATCCGTAAGGATGAGCGATTGTCCTCTACCTCTAACCCTTTAACCATCTAAACCAAAGAATGAGAATGCAAAGATATTTTACAAGAAATTAAAACAAGTCATTTTGGGAACATGAATTTGAGTCTCTGCCTTCAAAATAGGGGGCTCTCTTGCAGGATAAGGTGCACATCAGCCCTCCATGAGCCACAACTTCTACAACTCTGGACAGCTAAATTCATGGCCCAAAGAGACTCCATGATCCTAATCTGTATCCTCCGTGCCAGGTCCATTCATGCCTCCCTGGCTTGCGGTCTTTCGATAATCTGATTTTAGTAGATACGCTCATTATGCCCTTTAGTGTAATAGGATAATTAGATAATTAGATGCGTATTTTGGCTCCAAACAGCTCCTAAAACTGAACCATTAAAATACTGTATGTTAAATTCTAAAAACTTATTTCTAGAGGTGAAATAATAATTGAATGTTTTAAAAATCTGACCTACTAAATCAACACTGGCTATTATAATGACTTGTTTTCTTCAAAATTTAATATCATCTTACTCTGAAGTCCTACCATGCTTTTGCTCTTCTGTTTCCATTGGTTCTATCATGTTGTATCTTATTGGATTGTATTATATGTAAAGTATAAACAAATTTTCTATGGAAAATGAGATAATATAGTTAGCCATTGTTCATTTTCTGTTATTTGGTTCTCTGAATGCCCTGTAATACTTTCATTCTCTTTAATGATTTTATACTATTTTGTTATGTTTGATACTATTGTATATGAAGTTATGCTCAACTATTTCCAAGAAAGAGATATTATGGTAGTTACTGTTAATTACAGGTTGTCTTCTGGTGAAATACTGTGTTGCTTACACTGTTCTGTTCTGATCTGCTTTGTTATGTCCTGTTTTGTCTTAATCTCTTTTAAAAAATTTTTAAAAATCTGACCTACTGATAACTTCAGTTAATAAAGTGGACAAAAAACATGACGCAGGTACTATCATACTAAAATACAAGTATTAATGGAAAATGGTATAATTCTGTGAAACAATCAATTTGTAGATGCAATGATGTCAGGAGCCATCTCTAAACTGTAAAACCTGAAGTCAGGAAGTAGTCACCACTAAAGTCTGCAGAATAACTGTAATGCAGAACTTAAAAACCAGTGGAATTTATGTTTCATGTGAATGATTTAAGCTAATTCATCTTGTAAGAATAATCCCAAAGCCCTTTAAATGATAAATGGCGGCACAATCATCTCTCCTTTACTGATGAGAAAACTTAAGGCTCAGAGAAATTGAAAAGTCATTAACTGATGTTAATCCTAAGTACCAGAAATTTGTTGCTAAAGGGAAAGCCAAAAATTGACAAAATGATTGAAATATAGTACATATAAAATCAGAGTAATTTACGAAGAGGAGAACGTGTCTTCCAACCAAAACCTTGAGTTCCTTTTGGAATATTTTAGTAAATGCACCAGTTTTAGTAAATGAAAAATTTTTGGAATGCAGTCTATTTAATAATATACAATAATAATAATAATAATAATAATCAAACTGTTCAAATGCAGTTTCCAAAACAATTTTCCATTCCTAACCTAAAAGTAATGAAAATACTTTTGGAAACCAGGAAACTGAAATCTAATCTATCGGCACAGCTCCAATCTCTAAATTGAGGTAAGCAAACATGACACAAAAGATAAAACTGAGTTCCCTCCATGTTTGCACTTACTTGAGATCACCGTAAACATGGAAGTTATATGCAGTATAGGTTCGTGTGGACAACCTATCCAAACTGATGTCATGCCATGCTATAAAACCATTGTCTGCATCCTGGTCCAAGTAGTTTCATTCACACACTGTAAAGATTAGCTGAAATACAGGCTAATGTCTGGAAATGGCAGGAAATGCCCTATTTGTCTCACCTGGTCCTTGTACAGTATATCAGAAACTGGGCAGACAATGCAGGCTGTCCCAGAGCCAAACATCTCCTTTACTCTGTTTTCATCCAGGGCGCTGGTCAGATCACTCATGGTGAGGTACCTCTCTGACACCTTAAATTCACCCTGTCAGGAATATTAAAAAAAAAAAAAAACACTTAACCTTTTACTTTCTGGTTGAACCCAGATAATGTCACAGTCCTTTGGGGGGACATTAAAGAGGACAAACCATCTTACTGGTAAATGCACTGAAACACAAAGCACCCTATTTCAAGGTCACTGCATTTGTAAATTAAGTTACACAATACAAACATGCAACTATCACCTGAGAGACACCATATGTTTTAGTGTGTGCCTGCTTATTGGATTTTATTGCTGTCATGGATAAAGTCTCATAAGTTGATTCATTCCAAGTGCTTCTTAATGCATGTAGCATGGTCATAAAGCAAAAAACCAAATTCTGATATATATTCTTAATAGTCACTGCTACCATTTACCATGTACCCATCATACACCAAGATTTTTAATTCTAAAGGCAGGCACAATCACTTCCACTTTACTGATGAGGAAACCAGGGCTCAGGGAGGTGGAAGGGGTATCCCCAAGGCCACACAGCTAATAAATGGCAAAAACTGGGTTTGAACCTAGGTCTGATCTTATTTGTTCCAAATGTGGTCCTCCTTCCACCCTGCCTTTCATGGATTAAAAAAAAAACAGACCGAGTTCAAATATCTGAAATATTCATTATTTTAAAAAATTAAATATACGGACTTTACTTTAAAAGCTGCATTATAAATATATATTTTTCTTTCCAGATTAACTGACAAGGAGACCTTATAATAGTAATAGTCTTCCTTGTCTTTTAGAATCAGACTGGGTTGAATTTCACCAGGGATTAAGTGGTGTAATCTCCTCCACTTCTGCAGAATTATTTTGAGTATTTTTATTTGCTCAAGGATAGAAAATGGAAAAAAAAATCCAGTGCTTTTAATCTGTTTAATACTGACTCTTCAATCTTTAAGTCTCATTCCTTTATCTTAGTGACTCAAATTCAATCCTTGTCAACAAGCTATTTGAATTAAGGACAACAGAGAATGCATATGTTGAGAGAAAAGCAAGATGCAAGTGTTTTTTTCTTACCTACAAACCGACAATACATAAAAATGGAAATCAAAGCACTTGGATTCAAAATATTAGAAGAACAATGTACCATGCACCACACATGCTGCAAGTGGATTTGGAAGGACAGGGAAGTATGTCTTCCCAAGTTTCAATTTCTTTCATTCTGTAATTGCAATTATGTGTTCAGAGGTAAATAAATAAGTTTCAGATCAGCCAACTTTATTGAAAACAAGCTGAGTTCAGTGTTCTGGAAAAGGAAAAAAACCCCTCTTGCAAATAAGCAGAATTGTTTTTCTTCTGTTCACCCTTACTTATCTCTGGACAATTTCCCCTGTCTGGCAGTAGTGGTAACCCCCCACATGCCTCTTGGCATTTTATGTTTCACTGTTTTAAAATAGCTTTTAAAATAAATTACAGCTAAGGAGTCAAGAAAAACTTCCTCTATAATAGCCTATTTTTCATGCTAGCAAATCATTAGTGTGGGAAAGCATTTCCACTTGCAACTTGTCATCAAACCTTCTGTACTTAGTTGATTTTTTTTCTTTAATAAAACAGAAATTACTGAGCTTCAAAAATATATCTTTCCAACTGCAAACATATTTAGGACAGGGCAAGCTGTTTGAAATTATACCAACAGTTTGTAAATGTCATGCCCAATGTGCCAGCCAGCATGTGGCAGTTGGGTCTTGTCTACTTCAGGGTTTTGTGGAATTATTTATAGCACATTTCCTTTATATTCAAAGTCTTTTTCCAGAGAAAATGCTAGTATTCTTCTAGGTAATGTGTGTTTCTAAACATTTGTCCTATTCATACCATCTGACCATGGCACCCTCAAAAGCCTTTCCATGGTCTTTAGAGACCACTTTAACACATGGGTCAAAAGTTCCATCCAAAAACCGTTGCCAGACAACCCACTCATTTAATACCCACTTTGAATATGTTATGTCACTTTAAATAACAAACAGTTTAATAGTCTTTGCTTGTATCACATGGATTTGAAAGTCTACCAAAAACTGCTTTACAACTGCCTGTGTTTTTTTTTCCTTTTTTTTTTAATGGAACCAGGGATCAAACTCACAGCCTTGCACTTGCCAGACAGGCATTTAAGCCACTGAGCTAAATCCCCAGCTCTGTCTCTTTGTTTTGACCTTTAAAAACAGCCCTGTCTATGTGGGTGACGGGGGCAGTGGAGGGAGAAAGAAAGTAGCCAATCCAAGAGCATTATGGTAATAAATACACAGGTCAATGTCAGTAAAATTCCATAATTCCAATGGTGAGCACAGTGACAGTGGAATAAGGAAAGTAGAGGAAAACACAGAATTGTGTTTTCCCTGCACTGTGGAATATATTTACACTTGGAAAGTTGAGGGCTGATTGGATAGAACACAAAGCATAACCTAGGTTAAGCTGACAAGAGCTGCCTAGTATAAAGATGCCTAGTATAAAGGTGAATTCTGTGATGCTCCCCTAGGATATCTTGCTGCTCTGGTTTCTCTCTGCCCTCCCTACAAACAGCACTCAAAGATGATCTTCTAGAGCTATGCTGGTGAACCCACGGCATGCGAGCCGCAGCAGGCACGCACGAGCCAAGTTGCCCCAGAGCATCGGATAACAGTTCTTTTTTCTAAACTAAAACCTCAGTATTCAGGTTTAATTGCAGTGTTGGCACTCTGGGATAAATAAGTGGGTTTGGGGTTGCAGTTTGGGCATTTGGTCTCTCAAAGGTTGCCAACACTGTTCTAGAGAGCTCTTTCAAGAGTTAGGATTTAAAGGTTAGAGAACACTGGTTGCAACCACAGGGTATTATTTCACCAGGGCTTGAGGCTTATTCTGATTCCTCTGCGTTGCAAGCTTATGAAAGTTGTCCATGTCAAAGGCACCCACCCACTCACGGGCCAGGTCCAGGATGCTCTGCCGCGTCACTCCTGGGAGAATGATGCCATCTAGTGGAGGAGTTGCCAGTTCTTTTTCTGTCAATTAGAACAGGAAGATGGGTCAAAATTTAACTATGTTAGGCCCCTCTTATATCAACAACCATTTTTACAAAACCATGCCTCACAATTTTGCCAGTCACAAACATAAAGTTCAAGTTACTGCTCCGCATTGTCAAGTCCTGCATATCAATTCACGTTCCAGTTAAATTCTTTTTTTTTTTTTTTTTTGGTGGTTTTGAGATAGGGTTTCACTATGCAGTTCAGCTCAAGCCTTGTACTCTTTTTGTAGCCAAGGCTGGCCTCGAACTTGCATGATTCTCCTACTTCAGCTTCCCGAGTGCTGGGACTGTAGGTGTGTGCCACCATGTCCAGCGACGTAAGAATTTTATATTACAAACCAGAAAGAAAGCTACTCATCTACTAATCTTCAGCGTGTACTAACCATCCTGTAACTGTTCACCCTCAAAGATTTAAATGAAATGGGTTTAGGGTAAAGTGTGTATGTAGATAGCTAAAACAGAAAAACTCTCGAAGTTTCAAGTTTATGCTATTGCTTTACACAGATGACAGCATTCACCCACCATGAGGGCTGGGCATGACACTCATCTGTAGGCATCAAGTATGGTCCATCACCTGCACGGGCCTCTTTATCACAGGCCATCTCTCAACATCTCCCTTCCCTCCCCTTTCTGATACCCAGGAGTCAGACTGAATCTTCAAACCTTATTCATCACCTTACACCATGCTGACCCTTACGAGGGAGCATGCGATTGCAGAGAATTCACACAGTATGCTTAAAAGGATCACCAGGTAGTTAAAAACTGTGAAAGAATTCACTGGTATCTCTGAGCTCCTCCAGGCCCTTTCATGCAGTGAGAAAGAAGTTCAGAAATCACTGGAATTGATCCTCATAAGTGATTTGCCAAGGCTGGTGACACGGGAAAAGCCTGGATCAGTGCTCAATGGCTTGACACTAGGGCCACTCACTGCCCTGGCCGTCAGTATGCACTGGTTCTGAGCACACCTGCTTTGTTGTGATTATGACAGGGCTCTCTCTAGGTGCCCAAAGCTCCATATTCATCTTTGTATTCCCAAAACTTGATATTCTAGCTGGCTCAGACAGGTACACAATAAGCATTTTTTAATTAAAACACACACACACACATACATACATACACATGAACTGTCTTTTCTAGGATACAGCAATACGGTTTTCTGCAATTTTGTTTGAAAATTATTTTCAGGAGGGTCCGAGAAAATGGCGGCTAACTAGAGGATCGGGCGGAGAGTCTCTCCGGAGAAATCATATTAAAAGCTAGAATATCACAACATGGAGAGGGCCAGACAAATGGATAACGATTCTTATTAACCAAGACAGTGCAGCTGGAGGATTTAAAGTCGTGCTGAGACTGAGAAGGCTGAAAACGGGAAGATGCAAATCCCGCGCCTTTAAATCAACAGTTTAACCCATGGACGCAACAGGAAAAGCTGTGTTGGCTTTTGACTGCCCAGCTACACCAGAGGAGATTGTGAAAGACTCTCGAGCTCCAAAGCCAAACGCTGCTCCGCACTGTGCTGGGAGGGCACGCCGTGCAGGTTTCTGACCCTTCCACACTGTACCGGGAGTGCACGCAGCGCGGATTTCTGACTGCTCCGCGCCGCGAGTGCACGCCGCGCGGGTTTCCGACAGTTCCGCACTGAGCCGGGGCTGCACACAGCGCGGATTTCTTACCCCTCCACGCCGTACAGGGAGTGCACGCAGCGCGGATTTCTGACTGCTCCGCACCGTGCCGCGAGTGCACACCGCGCGGGTTTCCGACGGTTCCGCACTGAGCCGGGAGTGCACGCAGCGCGGATTCCTGACCGTTCCACCCTGTACCGGGAATGCACGCAGCGCGGATTTCTGACCACTCTGCACTGTACCAGGCGCTGCGCGGATTTCTGACCGTTCTGTGCTGCTGTACCGGGAGTGCACGCTGCGCGGATCTCTGACTGATCCGCGCTCTGCCGGGAACGTGGGAAAGGTGGGCGGCGTGGACCCTGGTGAGTACTGGAGACCCTGCGACTGCCAGGGTTGGCCAGAGAACATCTTGGAACGGGACAGTGCCCGCCACTATGGGGACATCAATAACACAGAGTCTGGTGGCAGCCATTTTACAGTTGGGCAGAACCTACAGCTCAGTGGCGTCACTGAGCCCCCTGTAGGGAGGGCTAGTGGAAGGCATCTTGGAATTGGGCAGAGCCTGAGTACGTGTTGGCTTCAGCCTCATCCAGAGAACTGGTGGGAGACATCTTGAGTTTGGGCAGTTCTGCTGTGCTGGTGCTCCTGACACAGAGAGGTCTGGAAGAGAACAGCTGAGATTTGGGCAGGACCCTGTGCCATAGTGACATTAGTCAGCTGCTTCTGGTACAAAGAGAACTGGCAGGAGATACTGGGGCTAACCCAAGCCTCTGCTTGGGGCCCAATGAGCGGATACAAAATAGTCACAACTCAGTGACAACCAGAAAGTACAGCCTAATTTAGGAACTAACTGGCACAGAGGCTAGAGACTAGCCTGTACCGCCCCTGCATCCCAGTCTACCCCAGATAACAGTAAATTGGGGAGGACAGCAAAAACTCAAGCCAGCACGCTTCTGAAAGGCCCTAAGCAATTCGGAGAGGGCCAGAGAACTCCAGGACAGTCTGAAAGAAACCAGAAACATGACAAGAGATAAAAATAAAAAAAAATCTCCAGCTGCCCAACAGGAGAAAATAAGCCCAGGAGAACTAAACACTGAAGAGAACAAGCACAGTAACCATCCACTACTCGACACAGCATCAGCCGAAATTAAAAAGTACCTACATGATCTCATAGAGGAATTTAAAGCTGTACTCCTGATCCAAGTGAGGCACGATATAAAGAGATTAATTAAAGAAATGACAAGCCCCGCCCAAGAGAACACAGATGGAAGAACTGAGGAAATCAGAAAAGAAAGAGAAGCATCTGAAGAAGAATTTAAGCGTAACCTAGAATACATGAAACAGATCCAAAGAGAATATCAGGAAACTAAAAACTCCATTGAACATTGGCAAAATGCCTTGACAGAAACTAAAGACAGCCTTCTGAAACTTGAAGAGAGATTTAGGACATATGAACGTGAAAGAAAAAGCCTCTTAAAAATAGCAAGGAACCAGAAAGAAGCAATTCTAAAACTGGAAGATGACAAAAAGATACATAACCTAAGAATAAAGAATGTGAGTGAGGAAGCAGGAACATCCAAAAATGAAATACAAAAAATATTCACAGAGATATTAAAGCAAAATTTCCCATATATAGCAAAAAGAAATGATATCCAGATAAAAGAAGCATACAGAACACCAGCTACCTACAACCAAAACAGATTTACGCCTAGACATATAATAATCGAGATCCCAGAAATCCACCAAAAAAACAGAATATTAAAAGCAGCCAGAGAAAAGATGCAGGTTACCTATAACGGGAAATCTATCAAAATAACAGCAGACTTATCAACACAAACTCTTAAGTCAAGAAGGGAGTGGGGAGAAATATTCCAAGTCCTGAAAGAAAAAAATATGCAACCAAAGTTCATATATCCATCAAAACTCTCTCTAAAAATTAATGAAGAAATAAGATACTTTCAAGACAAGGAGGAACTGTGGGAGTTCGTGGCCACCAATCCAACCCTACAGAGAGCGCTGAAGGACATTATAGAGAAAGAGAGGAAGAGATACCAGGATTCCAGCAACAGTGGCAGAGAGGCCTCAGTGAACGGGGCAGACAATGGAATGAGGGAATAAGGTGGACAAATTATAGCAGAAAAGTGGAGTAGCAGACATGAGGCAGGGACGGTAAGCTAGTCTTTAGTATAGACAGCTCTGAAACTATATTTTAAAAAAAAAAGGAGAGGTCATTGCTAATGGTGTATAATGATTTAAAAGACACAGTAGCCCTAGTGCCATATTTAGATTGAATTTAATTTGTTCTGGTCTGTCCGCTCATGTCAGATTTGAGGACACAGACATCTTGACCCAAAAATAGCAGGCTATACCATGGTAACTATCCTTACTTTCCTATTAACTTAAACTGAAATCCTATAATACTTACATTGTCTTACTATGACTGATCTTAATTGAATCTGAATCGTAAGACTATGGGTTGGCCATGGCTGATTTTATTTGAAATTGGTATGCTTGTCAGTATCAACCCTAAAAGTAGAGGCAACTACTCTGAGGATGACAAGTTGTAAAGAATATCCATACTGGTATTAATTAGTAACAGCTTCCAAACCCTACAATGCTGCCAAAGTTAAGTTTTTATAAAAATAGGTGATACTATATTTAACTATAATAAGCCAGTGTGGTGGTCAAATCTATTGAAAATAACAAGAGGAAACATAGTAACTATGGAAGATCATCTATATTGTGGTCTTAAATGTTTTATCCATTGCATGTTTTTCTAGGAAATTGTTTTGCTGTCTTGCTATGACTTGGTATTCCCTATAACACAGAGAGGATAGATATATATGTAGAAATTCACACATGGGTTCTTTTTTTTCTTTTTAATTATTTATGGGAACAGATTATATAATGTAAGATGTAATGAACAGATACTCTGAGGAAGAGACACTAAGAAACCCGAGGCTAATTTAGTAGCATTATGATAGAAATTCTAGCAATACTAATGTTTGCTGATTAGAATGACATTGGACTGGTTTCTTGAGTTCAATTTCAGCATATGTAGAGATGGGGACAGCTATCACAAAGAGTAGGAGAGATGAGTTGGTAGTTACTATTGTCTTCCCTAATTTGGTACTTGAGGACCTAAAAAGTCTTCAATGATTTGATTAGTTCTATAATATACACTAAGTATATAAGGTGGATGAAGATAGAGACAACTATTTGTAAAAAACTAGAGACAGTTAGATAGACAATCAAGATCTCCAGTGGGCTTCCTATGAAATCTGTATTTCTTTAAATTGTTTTTTTAACTGCTATGTTCTGTTTTGATATGTTTAATCTTACCCTCTTTGAGAAGTAAAACAAATGTGTAGGACTGATAACCATGTTACTGAGTTCTTGTTCGATCATAGAGCAGAAGGGTTTGTAGTGTCACTTTATGAATGTCATTCTAAATGCTTTAATTCCATAACATGAACAGCTACTTCTAAGATGACAATGTGTAACTTATCAACCAGCAATTTCTTACCGTTTGTTTTTCTGTAAGTTTGTATCATTTCTACCCTTTTTTAAAATCTCCATGTATTCTTTTGTTTCCTTTTCTTTAAATAAAAAATTAAAAAAAAAAAAAAAGAAAATTATTTTCAGGAGAGAAGAAATTTGTTCTTGGCAATGTTCTTAGGGCTACTTTTCATCATGTTTAGAAGTGTGGAGGATCTCAAAATAAATGTGTTTTATGATAGCTAGTTAGATGCATAAATGTATGGATCTCTATGTGTATATAATTATTACACACACACAAACACGCACACACATGCAGTGCCCCAGAAATAAACCTTTTCTAAAGCGTGCTGAGCTCCAAGACTACATAAAGTTAAATGCAAACAGCAGTTTTGCATGTGTAAACGCTGTTTTGTGAAATACATTTAACACCCAGAACTGTAACCACTAGCCTGAGGTCAAGGAACAGAACATCTGCTCCTCTGGTTGCCAGACAGAGACGATGAAATGACAACATTTGGGTGAGAAATATTCATTTTCCTCTGTAACCACAAACATGCTCACAAGAGCCAGAACGAACTCCAGATTGCCCAACAGGAGGAAAACAGAACCTACAAACGCAGCTTGTCTTTGACAGAGAGATCATTTTGGGGAGAGGAGGAATTCAGCAGCAGTAGCAGCAGGATTCATCTGTGACTGCCCCAAGTCAGGCACGAATGGAAAGGAGGAATGTGGGTTTGCACATCTGCCCTGAACTCCAGCAGCACAATCACTCGTTTATTCAGCAAATATGTACAAAGTGTTGTTTGCTATCCTAAGCTCTCCTAACCAGACTGATTTAACTCCCTACTCACTTTCTAATAGGCAGAGGCCAGCAGTTGCGTTGTTATCTAGCGTGTCAGAACATGGAGGAAAAGAGGGAAGGATAGTGGGCATGCTGAAGACTAAAGGAGACAGAGTTCATAGCTTTGATTACGAGCTCAGTGACATCCATGGGGACAGTGTGATTTGAGAGCAAAGACTTGGCAGCTGTGAAAGAGCTTCGTAGACACAAAGGCTGGGTCTTTCTTTTCCAGTATCCCAGTGTCTCAGACATGATAAAATTATTTGTTCAAACAGCAATAAATAAGTACATGTGTTTGAACTAGTTATGAACAGAGTGAAAAGGTGTGTAGCACACTCTTATCATCCCAGCACTCTGGAGAGCCAAGAGCGAGGAGTCCCAAGTTCAAGCCTAGCCTAACTAACTTAGTGACACCATGTCTCAAAAAAGGAAGGGGTGGTGGTGGCTGGGGATGTAGCTCAGTAGAAAGGTCCTAGGTGCAATCTCCAGGACTCCCACAAATAAAATAAGTAAAAGAATGTAACTTTAACCACCACCGTTGGTTACTGGAATCAAAATCCCCATGAGCTACAGGCCAAGCAGCACAGGTAAGCAGCACGCATGGTGCTCAGCTTTGAACACACAGGGTGTGCCTTATCTATCTTTCTACGCCTGCTCCTTTTCGAAAAGATCACTACTCAGAAAATTCTGTTCGTGCCTCGTGCCTGTGAAATCAGTATTTTGAGGATTTTCAACTCAGTATTTATTCTTTGTATTTTCTGAAAGCCACATGGTTAAAATCACTCTCTAGAATTGTTTCAATGTCTTTTTTTTTTTAACCTGAAGGTTGATACTGATGTTCTATTTCCCCTCTCAGTACTGTTCTGACATTTATTCTATTTCCTTTCTCCTTATTTCAAATTTTATTTGACCTATGAGGTGAACACCCGCTTGATGGAGTATACTGAACCTAAAGTTGTCTCAGGCAAGGGTACCAAAGGATAACGCTTAAGCATTTTATATATTTTACAAGAGACAGAAGACAAATTCACTTTTTTTATTCTGACCTTTAAAACTCAGAGGAGAAATGTTCCATGATTACTGTTTGGATAAAGAGCAATTTTTCACCAAGACAGTTTTTGGTTAAATCACATAGCTCTGGTTCAGATGATGCTTAAATCCTGGCATCTCTCATCCATAAATAAGTATGATACCACTTCTGAACCATGCTGCCTCTTTTCACTTCGGGCTATATGTGGGATGTTTTGGGAGGCAGCAAGAGCAGGCTGGTGGGAAAAAAATACAGTCTATTACCTCCTGAATGCAGACTCCAACGCCAGCCAACTTCTTCCTGGTGTAACTTTTGATATATGTATATGTAATAACTCAAATTTAGGAGTCAGAAATACTGCAGTACAAACTCCGCCAAATACTGCCAAGAACAAACAGCAGAGGTGGAGAATGAGCACAAACCGCATCTGGCTTCTCTTCTCACATGCCAAGGATCACACCAAGGGCCGGTGCACAGGAGACTGAGCTCCAACCCGGACGGAACACAAGGCTCTGCTGCTAATACTCAAAATAGTCCCAAGTTTGGGTTCAGGGGCATCTGAATCACTGCCTCCCTCCATCTACAGCCAAATTACCTCAAAGCAACAGAGGCTACTGCCAAATAAAAGTTTCACTTGAAAATATTCATTCAAACCAATACCAAGACCTTGCAAGTACTTAGAAATGTTTTACATTTTGCATTTCTGCACTCAATGTGAAATTAGTAATCTAACAGCATGAACAAGTCTATAAACATGTTTCTAAATTTTGCGTAACTATCAAAATTCTAATGGAGGGCCGGAGATTTAGCTCAGAGGCTCAAGCACTTGCCTGGTAAGCATGACGTTGTGAGTTTGATCCCTGGTACCAAAAAAAAAATTCTAATGGAAATCAGTGCCTATGTATTTTTCTCCTCCCTTTTGGACACTGAACTTAATACTGTGTATTGTCCACACTTCACTCAATCCCTATGGTCTGTGAACTAAAATTAAAAAAGAATCAAAAGAAACATAGTGAACATTCAGGGTAATGAAGGAATACTGATTTCTATAGTACACATTCAGAAAGAGAACTGAATGGGCTGGGAACTAGGTACAACCTCAGTGTATAGTGGCTTGTCTTTACTACTGAACTTTAATCACATGGAGGACCCCTGCTATGTTACCAAAATATTTAGAAAAGGCAACAATTGTTAAAAGAACTAAAGCAAAAGGGTTAGAGGTGTGTAGCTCAGTGGTAAAGCACTTGCTTAGTATGTAGTAGGCCCTGGGTTTAAAATCTAGCCTTTGAAACAAATATATAAATGTACGTTTTTTCTTTCTCTAATATATATGTAAATATCAAGTGCCTGTATAGACACAGACACACACATACACATCTCAGTGCAGTAAATACCCTGTCGGTAGAATATGCAGACTGCATTTATTACTATTTCTTACACAGTATATGGTGAATGACCACTGAACTGGCCTGAGACCTTTTTCCAAATGCAAAGGTTCAGGCAGGAGAATGCCAGGGAATGGCAGAGAGGATGGGGCAGCAAATCTTTAAATCACAGTGACTTAATATCACTTAATTTGACATCTCAATAATTAGTACATCTAGTGGTGGGGGGGGAACAAACCACGAGAACAAAGCAAAACCTTTCCACCTTCTTTAAAATGATGTCTACTTGACTGCAAAAGTACAGTATTCTTAGCTTGTGGACCTTGTGCTATCTATATCCTTGTCCTCCTCTTCCAGTTCTAGTGGTCCCACTGAAAATGACTGGCAAAGTACAGAGCTGACATCTGCGTGGGTTACCTCCATCTTCATTGATCCAGTAAAGGAAAAGATTCATCGTCCCAACTTCAGTTATCTGATGATCCTCTCCGTAGAGCCACAAGACCTGCTGACAGCCCATCTCCCCGGCATGGTACTGGGCAAACAGAGAGCAGCCATAATTCCTTTAAGGAAGAGAGGACACACTGATTATGAACATGCATCACCCGGCCCCATCTTCCACGCTCTAATGGCAATTCTTTAATTTGCAGGTGGATGCAGTCCGGATATTACATTCTTCTCCATATATTCTCTCTAGTTAACTCCACAAAATGAAAGGAAACTCAGAAAAGCCTGCTCGAACCCATGCATAATGAGACAGCAAAACAAAATCTTGGAATCCCAACACGAAAAGCAATGCTAGATCACAGGTAAATAGCCAAGTTAATGAGAACAGTTAAACATTACCAAGTAGTTTTCCCGACACACCAAGGTAATTTACATAAATGATCTCAACCTCACATCAATCTTATTAGGTAGCTTCTGTTATTGAGATGAGAAACTGTGCTTCGGAAAAGTGACCTGAATCAAGTTACAGCAAGTTAAATGGTAAAGCACCAGGCCTATGGCTTGGATCCGAGGCCTATGCCTAATGCCCAATGCCTAAAATCCCCACTGGTGGGTTTAAAAATCTCAAAAAAAAACCCTTTTCTTTTGGTCCAAAAGTATTTCAGAGGCTTATTTTTCTTAACCCACATAATTTATTCTGGGTTATTTAAAAATCAAAGGAATATGGCTCATCTTCCTGGAATGTAATGTTGTAATTTTTAGTAATATTTTAAATTTAAATTTAAACATGAGAAAAATATAGGATATATTACAAAGTTCTTAATGTTTGAATGTGTAGATAAAATATAATAGTTTTCAAATAAACATGAAGCTTTCTTGTCTCCTTCAGGCCTTGGGTTCACTTTTCTTAGCTCCAGAGACATCAGTGAGTAAGTGTGAAAAGCTCCACAGTAAGACAGTGGAGGCTGGGGACAAACCCTGGCCCTGTCTTTGGGCAGTGAAGCCCTCGGAAGTACAGTGGTACCTGAGTTTACAAATCTACTTGGTTTACAATTTGGGGGAAGATGGCTGTGTTTGTGTTTATGTAGGGAAGAGAACCTCAGCTGCGTCCGTCATCCAACGTGGAGTCTGCGAACAGAAACGAAATATCGCTGAACGCTGAATTGTTTGTGAACAGAAGCATTCGCAAACTGAGGTATATCACTGCACACGCAAGCCAGCACACAACGAAAACTACTAGGACGCAGTATGTAATCGTGAACCACATTTCTTAGGCCTTTTAAATGATCTCGTCTATCTAGGTAAGATTATGATGTGTCTAAATAAAAGTGCAAGTGAAGCCCAAGAACTCTAGATGACAGTGGGCACATGCATGGGTCTCCCAATTTCCTTTCCCATTCTACGCCCTCTTCTAGACACAGCCTTTCCTTCCTATAGGGCTCCGTCACTCTGCTGAGATTCCCAGCAGCCTGTCCTGCTATGACTCAATTAAAGGAGGGCATGCAACCTAGGCTGGTCATCAGCAGCTCAGAATTCCTCCAGTGTGAGTATCTAGGCTTTCAAAAGAAGCTTTTAAGAACAAACACACAGGGGTCAGGAATTCAGCCCAGTGGCAAGTGCAAGGCCCTGAGTTCGAACTCTGGTACAGATCAAAAAAAGAATAAACACACACTTCAGAGAACGTGGCTTATTTAAACTGTGGTTCCTTACAGCTATCACAAAGCTACCTGGGCAGGGAAAGAAAAATTAAGCACAACTGTTTCAATGCATCGGAAGAAGGAGTGTATTCTGTATTCACATACAAATTGTTCTCAAACTCCTCTTTGAAGTGTTAACAGTATTATAAATGTCCACATGGTGACAAACAGCGTGGTGACGTACTATTTGGTTTCTCTCCCTCATGCTACCAATAGCCAGAAAAGGAAAACATACATTCTTGGACAGCAGAGAAACAAATGAAAAAGCCAGAAAAGTGTTTCAAAAATTCAATATAAATTTAAATACAGTAAGTATTTGAGAGGATGGTGATATTAAATACACCCTTCCAAGTGAATAAATTTTATTGTGTAAAATTCATCTGATTTCTCTTAAAGAGTCCCTATAAGAAAGCCTCATAGTATCAGGTACTGTTTGATAAGAAGTTTTGGCTATTAGGGAGGGTACTGAGTATTAACCACTGTATTTCACAGAACTGTCTTAGAACAACCCTGGGCTTCGTTATACTTTTAGATGCTGGAGGAAAAACACACAAAATCACACAGATATTGTGAGGGAGTGAGGCCCCCCGACTGTGATCTAGCCCATACTTTTAAACATTTTTGCAACCCATACTTTTAACCCATACTTTTAACCATTTTTCCCCTATATGGCAAGCAAATACGAGCCTTGCTTTGAACACACTTTTCCCATTGTTCTTTGCCACTTTCTGAAGCAGTTCTGGAAATCCTCTTTTGTGTCTTTATGAGGTTGGATCAAAAATATAGTGAATGCCATTGCTGAGTGACAGGTTCATAAAAACATGATGGTGGGTCCTCGTCCACCTTATTCACTAGATCTGGCACCGTGTGACTTACGTCTCTTACTCAAAGTCAAAACTACAGTGAAAACTAAATGCTTTGCATTGATTCAGAGCATCAGGGCAGCCAGTGGCACAACTCAAGACACAAAAGAGGACTTCAGGGTGCGGATTTAGCTCAGCAGCATAAGCACCTGCGTGGCAAGCATGAGGTGGTGAGTTTGATCCCCAGTAACAAAAAAAAAAAAGAGGACTTCAGGCCCACTTTAGAAAGTGAGAAGAATGATGGCTGAGTGTGTTCAGAGTGAGGAGTAGGTGGGTCATGCTGAGGGGGATTAATGGCAATGTGTCTTTTACTGTAATAAATTTAGAAAATTTTAATTCACTTCATTTTTCCAATCAGGACACATATCATCTCAATCTATAATAGTAAGTTAGGTATTTACCCTGATTTTACAAATGAGAAAAGTGAGAGTGGGAACAGGTAAGGTAACATGCCCCAGGGTAACGAGATTTTTTTCTTAGTTTTTGAAGAGTTTAATTTTTAAAAGAGGGCTGGGGATATGGCTCAGTGGCATGGCACCTGGCGAATTTTTAAAAAGAGCAGTTTTAGGCTGAGAATAACATTGAGAGAACGGTGCAGAGATTTTCTACATATCTTTGCTCTCACATATTCACTATTTTGCCCCAGAGTGGTACTTTTGCTATAAATGATGATTGTACACTAACACATCCTTATCTCCCCAAGTCTACAGTTTACATTAGGGGAGTTTCCAGAGTGGCACAAAACATGCGTTTGGACAGACAGGTTCTTAAGCTTGGCCTTTGTGTTCTCATTAAAGCTTGCACTCTTAAGTGCAGAATAAAAGTGAAAAAAGATGGATGAGTACTTTTGTGTGTGTGTGTGTGTGTGTGTGTGCGCGCACATGAGACAGAGAAAGACAAGGAGAAAAAGAAAGAGAAAGAAAGACACTCACTTGACACCTGACTCACTTTAAATTCAGAAAGCGCTTGGGACTAAAAATGTTGCTGTGACAAGGGACCCTTCTAGTTCAGTGTCTCTCCAGTTTTGCTGTGCCTAATATATCCCAGCTGGACCACATGGTGGCGCACTCCTATCATCCTAGCATTCTAGGAGGCTGCGTTCAAGTACAGCCAGGGCAACTCAGTGATTTAGTGTGACCCTGTCTCAAAATAACCGGGCTGGGAATGTAGCTCAGAGCAAACACTTCTGGTTCAATCCCCAGTGCTAAAAAAAAAAAAGTCCTGAAGCTCCATCCATACTCCAGTACTCCAGACACAGACAGAACCTCCAGAGGCGGGAGCCAGGGAAGAGCTGTTGATAAAGCTCCCTGAGTGATCTCAATGTGCACCAAAGCCTGGCTGCTGGACTCTCCTTCAGCTGTGTGCCAGTACTGCTATTTCTCCAATGCTTCAAAACAGTGGGATAATCTTAAATTTACAAAAGTAAAATAAAGTACTCTTCCAGAATCACTTAGATAGAAAGTGAGTTTATGAGAACCAAGAGCTATTTAATGATACCAATTGACTACAGGGAGACCTAAATAGTGTTTAGAGGGTAACTGTGGACCTAATTAGATTGAAGAATGTAGTAAAGTTGTCTCTAAATGTCTTTTTTTTTTTTTTGGTCTTTTTTGAGACAGGGTCTCATTATGAGCCTTCAGCTCACAATAAGCCCCAGTGCTAAACTTGAACTCACAACAATCCTCTTGCCTCGGCCTCCTCAGTGCTGGGATTATGCCCAGCTATCTCCTAATGTCTTTGCTGGCTAAACTGGATGAACTCAGTGTAGAATCATTTGTTTTTCTTGTATTTCCCCAGGTTGGGAGCATAGGCATAGAGTGCTTTAACACATCTTGCAAACAACAGACACAAGGTTAAATGCATGTCCTTTTATTACTGCCTCCCTCTTGCCCATTTCGCTTCTATTTATGAGTTCAAATACTCTCTCCACTAGTCTCTTCCTAAGACATTTCACTCAATTCCCACTGACCACAGTCCATGAGCCTGAATCAAACTATTTGTTAATAAGAGATTATGCTTGCAGCACTTTTAAAGATGTAAAGAAAAACTGAGCAAAAAAGTAATTTCCAAAAGTATTTCCAAAAGTAATAACCCTTCCTCAGCCCTCTTCTCAACTTTCCAATTATTAATGTCTTGCATTGTGGTACGTAAGCCCATAGTTTATATGAAGGTACAACATCAGTATCTGTTCACACACCAGCTAGACTGCCTTGTGATTCCTTAAGACCAATCTCAAGCCAAATTCCCTATTTAAGCTCTCCTGATCCTTGACTTCCATAATAATCAAGTTGAGTGTGTTTTCTCTCATTCCTGTGAGTTTGGTGATCTGTAAGAGGGCTCCTGATCTTGGACAGCCATCCTGGTCCCCTCAAACCTGACCCTTGAGTCACATGTCAGGAACTGCACAGGGGCAGGCTAATCAGTGACAAAACTCCCCAGAAAAAATACCGATGTTTGTTCTCCAAATCTGCAAACCTGAGAAACATGTGCTAACTAGGTGATGACAACCAGCTGTCATTTGGCCCCAGACCTCAACTTGTGAGGTTTCCCTGATCTGCAATCATCCACTTCTGATATAAACCACCTGATATAAATCTGATATAAATCAGTCTCTGCACGACAGAATTGGAGAGTCCCTCTGTTAGCTGGCTTTTGTGAGTGAAGTCACTTTTGTAGATTCACCGACTTCCATGGGGTAGAAATTTACCCTGGTGAGTCTGAATTAAATTCTGCCTGATGCTGTCTCCCACATCCATTTTCTCCAGATTCTAACACATACCATATCCTGACAGTACTGTAATTCCTTGTCTCTCCCCTCTGCCTTCCTTAGGGAAGAAGGCTCTGCACATCAACTACGCTGTCACTCTTAATACTTTACCAGCATGTCACTGGACTCTGACCATCCTGAATCCGATGCTTGACCCAGGTGCTGTGCATTACCACTTGACCAGATGAAGACGAGACCAGGCTGCTTGATCCAGATATTCTTACCCAAGGGGCATTTCCACATTGAGGCCAAGTCCATACCTGAGATTCTCCAGCACTTTCAAATGCTCTTTTTTTTCCTGCCAGCTACACATGGCCAGAGACCAGCCTAACAGCCAAGGCAGGGCTGAGCCCCTGCCAGCTCACAGCAGGTGAGGCTAGGAGCTGCAGCCGGGAAGACAGCTCCATGGGGAAGCAGGCAGGCAAAGGTGTAGCCAATCAGAACTATCTCCCTTAGGCTGGTTCCTGCCTCGGTATGGCATCCAATGCTTCTCTCTCCCACCAGAGTGATCCTTTGAACAAGTATTTTATTTAAAACATGGAGCACTGAGCAGAAGATAAAAAGCAAGCATTCATGTTTAAATATTGTTGCACATGTTTCTGCTGCAGTGAAATGCAATTGTAAGATCGTCAGGAAGGATGCTCTCCTCGAGACAGAAATGTGCCGACTTACCCTCCCATCTTGTAGTTCCCAGTGCCACCTTTCCAGGCTCTGACATACTGTGGGCTGGCCCACAGGGTCACTGGCTTGAAGGATCCACTTGAAAAATACGGTCCCACTGGGCTCAGGATGACAAAGAGCAACGCTTTGGTGGGCTTCTTGACTCCAAGGGAAGGCTGCAATACAGTCAGAGCACACAACCTGTAATTTACTACGAAGACAACAGTCTGAGAGTATAGAGCAGGCTGTATCTATCCTCCAGAAGGGGCTAACCAGTGACAGAAAGCCTTTCCAGGTCTTTTAAGAAGAAAAAGCTGAGGATAAAGTTTCATTTTCTTTGCTTTCGTAAGTTATGATTTTAGAGGAAAAATGAATTCTTGTTGCTGAAAGGATTTAGAAGGCTTATTTTTAACCATCAACCATGTAACACCTTTCAAAATTGCACTGGTTGAGTCCGGTGAGCCTGAGGCAGGGGGATCGTTGTGAGTTCAAGAATAGCCTGGGCTACAAAGTGAGCTCAAGGCCAGCCTGAACTGCAGTGACAAAAAGACAAAAACAAAACAAACACCAAAATTGCACTGGTTAAAAATTAAAGGGAAGAACCAAATTTTAGTCTTTAGAGGTATCACATATTTGCTTCCCTAACGAATGCTCCAAAACATGTGAAGGCTTCCCAGGTGTGGAAATCAGCAAATTGGCCCTGAGCACACCTGCCTGTGTTACACAACAGAAAGAGGAGCTTTTCTAGAGATAGACATCAGACTCCGCTGGGCATAGTGGCCCCCACTTCAGGAGGCTAAGGCAGGAGGATTGCTAATGTGAGACAAGCTTGGGCAACTTAGTGAAACCTCTGTCTCAAGATAACAAATATATTAGCAAACAAATAAATAGCAAGTAAGTAAAGTTTTTAAACAAATTAGGGACACAGCTCAAAGCAAAGGCCTTGGGTTCAATCCCCAGTCCTGGAGGAACAAAACAGGCACCAGAATAGATAAATACAATCAAGAGGACGGAGGATGCATGATTCAGCAATTGCATCATAAAAACACAGACAGGTGATGGCCCTTATCACAAGCACTGGAGAGCCAAAAGCCAGCAGTGCAGATGCATACACATTCCTTCAACACAAGGCAGTAATAAGGGACTAAGGTAAGTGGTTTATGAAAGGAGAAAATCTAGAAATGGAAAGTTTTTTTTTTTTTTTTTTTTTTTGTCTTTTTTGTTTTTATCGGTACCAGGGATCGAACTCACAACTGCCTGCTTGCAAGGCAGGCGCTTATGCTGCTGAGCTAAATCCCCAGCCCCGAAATGGAAAGTTTTAAGGGCTAAGTATTACAAACATAAAAAACGTTACTGTGCAGCGTAATCTTAGATCACAAGAGTAAGATGAGGCCAGGTCTGTTACCCAGATACAATCTCCCAGCATGCAGCCTTCACTGCACCTGGGGCTGGTGGTACAGCGGGAGTCTGTCATGCACAGAGTAAAAGAGGGGACTCATTTCCAGCTGGTGTGGAGTCTTTGTCGTGTCAGACAAAACTGCCTAAAACTAGAGTTTGGCATTTTTTAAAATTGATTTTCCACTGTTCTTCCTCCTTCTGCTCATTATCTTGCAGTCTCTGGATCAGAACGTAACAGCTAAGATTACCAAGAATCAGGTAGGTTAAATGTTACTGAGGCTTACAATATCCCTGACAATGTTTTTCCTCAAAAAATTGAAAGTAGAACTATGCTATGACTTAGCTATACTACTCCTTGGGATAGATTCAAAGTGATTCACATCAGCATAGTACTGCAGAGGTACCCACATACCCATGGTTACTGTGGTACAACTCACAGCAGCCCAGATGTGGAGCCAGCCTAAAGTCCCAGAATGCATGGACAAATAAAGAAACTGGCGTGCATATATATATATACATACACAGTTCAGCCACAGTGAAGAACAAAATCCTATCATTTGCAGGAAAAAAATAAGACTGATGATCTTCATATTAAGCCAAATAAGTCAGACTCAGAAAGACAAGTATCACACATTTTTGCCTAATATGTGGAGTCTAAAAAGGAAAAAAAAAGAAGACATGAAAAACAGAAAACAGACTATTAGACTTTCCGGAAGGGAGTCAGGGGAAGTAGAAGAGTGTAAATAAGGATTACAAGGATGGGCATGATGAAAACATTCACATGTATGAAAATGCCACAGTGAAACCTAGTATTCTATACATTTTAATGTGTGCTAATAAAGCATGTATCCTGAGAAAAAAAAACAAAACAAACAGCGTTTGTGTGTTGATGCCATCTAAACAGTGTGTCCTCTCAGGAAATGGGAAGGTCATTCTATCAGCCAGAAGGACCAAGCAGGACCTGGGCAGCCAAGGAACAAACTGATGAGAGAAGACCAAGTGAGAGAAATGAGTGACAACAAAAAGACAATTTGCTTTTTGACTGGCTTGTGTTTTGTTCTTAACGGTGGCCTTAAAAGAAAATAAAACTACCAATAAAAGATGAGGGTCTGGAAGGCGTTCACTCTTCGGACACACCTGCTGTTATTTCCAGCTTTGACAAAATCTATTTGATTTCTGTGCTTTTATTTACCTAAGAGATAAGAAAATTCAGTGAGACCTTCATTTCATGTGTGCTCCAGAGCTTTATAGTTTAGAATTTTTTAAATGAACTCTTTGTGGTAAGGAATTAAGAGGCACTTCTTGATGTAATTTAGATAAAGGTCTAAGTAACTTATGTAGCTCCTAAGTTTCTGAACAAATACACTTATTTGTGGATAAGCTAAAAGGTTTTATTTATTTTCAGATGCATGCTTGGAAATGCTATTTTTCTCCTTGGAATTCAAGTATTTTATGCAACCTGCCGTATTACATTAAAAGAAGGAGCTGGGTGTGGTGATGCATGCCTGTAATCCCATCATTCAGAAGGCTGACACAGGAGGACTGCTGGGAGTTCGAGGCCAGCCTGAACTATAAAGCAAGATCCTATCTCATAAAAGCAAAATAAACAGCAAGAAAGAAACCATGACCCATCATCATGGAAATAGTTTCTTATGATAAATTTCACACTGTATGGAGATGTAGTTCAGTGACAAAGTGAGTGTTGAGCATGCAGTGGGCTCTGGGTTCAACTCTCAATAGCTAAAAAAATTTCACCTTCCTTTCCTGACAAGTAGCCTTGCATTTATTCCACTAGGTGGTAGCATCGGGAATACACAAGGGGAAACAGAGGGAAGAATTCTACACATAAAGTCTATTTGTAGGAAAAAACATCTTGATACACCTTTAATATTTTTATCCTTAACAAGCTGGTAAATTTAAGAGGTTATATGTACTAACTTCTTGGTTTTCTGAAACTAAAGCCAGATCCTCTCATGGTTCAAAAATATTTCAAGCACTAGTGAGGATCCTAGCTTAGTTACCTTCATCCTTCTAAACCACTTATATTGATCATGTGTCTATTGGTGAAAAGAACTCTACGCTGTCCCTGAAAATGGTCAGCGTATCCAAGACTAAGAAGAAATGAAACAGCACCCTAAGCTTCAGTAATGAGAAATGTTAGAGGTTCTGATTCTGCAGTCAAGAACCAGTAAATGTCCCTTTTGTTTATTTCTCCCCTCTATCCTAAAATACAACTTAAATGCTGTGCTACTGTTGAAAGAGTATTTCATTATATAATATTAATCAGCCCAGTATTCATGTGATGACACACTTAGACTCCTAACAAACTAAAAGCCACATAAATAAAGAGACAGTAAGGGTGTCAATAGCTCATCATGCAAAGATGATGGCTTTAGAATATTCAGATTGACTTAGTATCCTTCTCTATTTGCTTTTGGGATTACTTATAATGAATTGAAAGAGGTTTTTAAAAAACCCATGAAAATGGGGAAAATAACACTTGCAGATGCAAAGTAGAGACCACAGGGACTTTGGAGTCAAAATACTGTTAAAAACATATGTATGTATTTTTTTTTTAACTTCATAGGCTATTTTGCTCACAAGTAAATCCATGTATATTTGCACGCAATGACAAGGCACTCGGGTATGACAGAAAATAGAAGAGACATGTCCCCGTGAAAATTACCACTTCTTTCTGGGTCACTCAGAAATTGCTTCATAGAAAAGCAGAGAGCTCAGTGAGCTGAGAAAATGCTATTAGTCTATCCTTTGGCTTGAGAGAGAGAGAGAGAAGCTCACGAATAATTCTGCCCGGGCAGAGCAAGTAAAAGGGAGAAAATAGGCTCACCGGCCCTAACAGACAATCCTCATAAAGAAGCATATTGGATGTATTTTTCATCCAAAGAGCAGCCTGATTCTTTTAATCCTGCTAGTGCTTTTTTAAAAAATTACAGTTAAAAGTGACAGTGGTTACAAAAAAATTACTGGAGAGGGGTGCGGTAAGGAAGAGGTCTGGTGGTCTATTTGAGGCCTTAAATGTGTTGAGGGTCACAAATATGAGGGAGACCAACTTCACACAGGGAAACCAGTTGGCTTAGAGGAAAAACACAACAAACCACAAAACCTCACTTCTGCATGTTGCTTTTCGGCTTGCAAGATATTTTACAATTGTTATATACGATAACCTTGTGATTTACGAATTATAATTCCTATTTTTAAGTTAGAAAGGGCCAGGCATGGTGGCACACACCCATAATCCCAGCACTCGGGAGGCAGAGGCAAAAGGATCTCGCGTTCGAGGCCAGCTAGAGAATGAATTCAAGGCCATAGTGACAAGGCCTCACCGACTGCATGGTGAAACCTTGTCTCAAAAAGAAAAAAGAAAAAAGAAAAATTAGAGACACTAGGTTTAATAAAAATGATTTGCTGAAGCTTTTGCAGTTACTAAGCTCCAGATCTACTTTTAATCCAGTTGTGTTATACTATACTAAAGCAAAGCTCTAAAATAAAAATTATGCACTATCCAAGATTTCCTAACCTGAAGGGAGCTCGCTCCGGTGTCCACTTCCTGCACCCCACTCACACCACAGCGAACACTTTCAATTTCTTCTTCCCTTCCAAACGCTCCCTGCTTTACGGCAGTACTTTCACAGTCTGCAACGTTCACTTTCCATCCACCCCACCATCACCTCCACAAGGGACTGCATTATGCCCCCCCAGAATCCATGTCAAATCCCTCAGCCCCAGTGTCACTGCAGTGGAGACAGGGACTTTAAGG